AAAAAAATCGTTGCTTAATAAAAAAAATTGTAAAATAACATAAAAGGCTAGAAAAAAGGCTATATATATATATATACTATATTCATATACGAATGGATGTAACAATATTTCTACATATGACAAGAAACAAATAAGTACCTTAACAATATTTTGATGAACGATATCTGATTTGGTTTCCGTGTGCTAAAACAATGATATCGGTTATACCCGGCTTGAAATACACAAAAATGGATTTTACGGACTGTAAGTGTAAGATGCAACCAATAAATATACCCATATATATTTGAAATATCAAATGTGGTCTCTCTCTCTCTCTCTCTCCCTTTTTAGTGACAATTCTATACACATACAAATTCAAAGAAGGCAACCGTGGATTTCGATTAGGACGATGGCGAGTTCGTTGCTTATCTCTAATCATCTCACATTTATGCAAGAGTTCTTGGCTGGGATTCATCTCGATCTCTACCTTCTTTATTCCAAGGCTTTTATGATTCAATATATGTTACACTGTCATCTGATTCACTTTACCGCTCAGTGGCATCTTTAGAAGGCGGAACTGGAAACGATTCCGATATAAATTTTTAGTTTGTGTTCGGATGGTGGAGTTATAAATTCTGGTATAAATTATATAACGTCTTTTGGCCCGCAAAAATGTGTTTGAATTTTATTATTTTGATTGGGTTTTGGATTCTTGGAATTGCCAAGGGTCTAAGCGAATGCAACCAATATTTGGTAGTAATTTGCAATCAAAGACACTGGGGGAAATTGGTGTTTCAGGTAATGCTTGTTTTGTGGGGCATTATATTATATCTAAAAGGCAAGCCAGAAATATTCGTGCAATGCCATTGAAATTTTATATATTTCGGTAGTTAAAAACATTTTATAACAATCGATTATTAGGTCTAAAAAGTGAATAGAGCTGGAAAATACACTCAAATGAACCTTTATAACGTTCTGAAATAGTCGTAAGACAAATTCACCGACAAGAATTGTTTAACAAATTATTTCCCATAGGCAAACAACTTCAGCGCTACAAGATAATTATAACATCCACCTTGTACTTAGTTTGACGTATATCCCAATCGAGCAGTTTCAACTAAACCACTCTCGGCTAACGAATCAATATAATATAATCATGCTACAATTTATTGAAATTCTCTCCACCCTTTTGATTGCTAAGCTTAAACACCCTGTACTCAGACATATGACTGTGAATTTCAACTACATATCAATTTACCCAAGACTTTTAAGAAATATATATTTATGTAAAGGCAGTACTGAGGCCGACTTCATTCACAATCCGTACACGGACGTAAACAGTACTCAATACAACATAAAAAATGCTACCTTCATATCTTTCGTTCGATAGTAGCCAATCGGTTGACAATAGTAGGGAATGTCTAGATAATCATGGCAGTGAATCTGCAAGTTCAATATTTACGGTGGAGCCATACATGTTACGGTAAATAAAAAGAAAACAGAAGTCTAATATTCTCTCTAATATTCTCTAATACATTCTTCATCAAATACCTAGCACTCAACTGCTAATATTGGACTACAAGCAGTTCAAGTCCGCGCGCACCATACAAAGGCATGCTCGCGGCTTCATCGTTCGTAAGAGAATCCAGAGACAACAGAAGTCGGCCACAGTTATTCAGAGAGCTTGGCGCCGCTGTGTGGCCAAGCGACATTTGATTCTCTTCGCACAGGAGCGCACTCAAGAGTCGATACAGATCATGTTCCACGATTCGTGTGTGAAGATACAGTGCTACTTCCGCGGTTGGTGGTCGCGCAAGTATGTTAACAATATGCTCTTCCTCAAGAATATGCAGCTGCAATGCTTGGAGGAGCTGATATATGCGTATGCCTTGAAGCTGCACACAATGTTGCGAACTGGACATTTACCGGGATATATTAGTTTGTGTGAGGAGCCGTGAGTAGCAGTTGATCGATACATACATCAAGTTATCGATATAAATTCGTGGGCATTTTTGCTTCTTTTAGGTACAGCTCAAAAATAGCTGACTTCCTAACGATATTGACCTATCGATTCTATAATCGATACGTGTGCAATAAATATATGGTAAAGAGATCCGATAGGGAGAAACATCGACGCGATTTCAAGGCTGCCGCTTTTACTACTGGTCTGCCATATATGGGCTTCAATCACAATAGTGCATGCAAGCACTGGGCGCCTCAATATGATATTGTGCCCAAGGAGTATGACAATCGTCAATACGATGTTCTACAGATCTTTTCGACACAGAGTCAAATGACCGAATTACAGAAACGGTTTCTGGAAAAAGAAAGGGGCAAGTGGAATTAACCAAACGTCATTTACTTTCTTTTCATTAACATTATTTCTCATCTAGCATTGAGGAAGAGCATTCGATCTGGTGAAAAGGAATCACTTTTCTGCCGAGATGTCGCAAATAGCATGCGATTCTGGCGCGCCTGTGATGTGTGCAAGCACAAGGTCACGGACAGCCTAATGGGTGATCAATTTAAGGTTTATCTATCGAATATCAAATTATTTTTGGAGCAAATGCAGTTTGTGGCCAACTGCAATTGCTCGCTGGATAAGAAACAGGCAGAGCTTCTAAAATGCAATCCGAAATCATATAGCAAACCAATTGTACCTACAAGCCAAAAGCGAGTACTTAAAGGAAGCTATCAAACCTTAATATCATAAAATATGGGCAGGATTATAGTTGCGCGAAACTAATGGATGTGATAAGCAGAAGAAATATGTAGAGTTTATTGACTTATGTTTACGCTTTAACAAATAAATTTTGCAGGCATATGAATGCTAAATTCACGGAAATTATGTTTATTTTTAAAATGTTTATTTAAACTGGGCTAACATAGTTACTTATATAAGATGTAAGTGAATATTAACACTCGCTATAGAGCTAAAGGAAGAAGAATTTTTCCTGAATAAAACTTAATATTGATAAATATATATAAATTATTTAGGTGACGTTTTATTATCAGAAGAGATAAAAATGATTCGAAATTTAAATTCCCCATTTGTGTACAAATAATAAATCTGGATTTTTTTGCCAGGCTCTGAGAGTATATCCCGTGCTTGGAGGATTCAACTAGATCACTTGGGATTGTTATTGTACCACAATTAATAATAAATAAAATAAGCTAAAAGTATAGTTAATATAGTTAATATTGCCCTTCTGAGAACTATGACAACCCCACTATCACATACTCTAATAATTTCCATGTACTCTCATAAACACTCTCATATAGTCTACTAAACATTTCACCTACATATCAGTTTACCCCAGAGTCCTCAGAAATATATACAACAATTTGAACACAGGCACGCACATTCCACTCACAATTCTCACACGATAATAAACAACAAACTGCACTCAATACTCAATACAATATATACAATATACATACATATATATAAACATGTTTCCAATGGCTGATTTAGGTCTACTTTCATATCACTCGGTTGACGGTCGCGAATTGGATGGCCAGAAGGACAACTGCAGCCCTAAAACCGACTCTTCAGGCTCCCGTTTTCCCATGCAGGAACATATGTTACGGTAAATAAATAAATCAAATCAAATCATATGCAACTCTCAATTAATTGCTCACTAAATATTTAGCACTCATCTGCTATTGCTAGACTACAAACAGTTCAGGTCCGCGCGCACCATTCAAAGACATGTTCGTGGCTTCATCGTTCGCCAGAGACGGCAGAGAGAAGTGAAAGCAGTCATAGTTATTCAGAGAGTCTGGCGCCGATGTGTGGCCAAGCGACATCTGATTCTCTTCGCACAGCAGCGCACGCAAGATGCCGTACAGCTGATGTACTACAATGCATCCCTGAAGATTCAGGCCTTCTTCCGCGGCTGGTGGTCGCGCAAGCATATCAATAACATGCTCTTCCTCAAGAACATGCAATTGCAGTACGTGGAGGAGCTGCTGAACTCGTTTGCCCTAAAGTTGCACACGATGATGCGAACTGGGCATCTGCCGGGATATGTTAGTTTGTGTGTGGAGCCGTAAGTATTAGTTGATCGATATACATCAAGTTATCGATGTTAATCGCAGTGTTTCACTTTCTTCTTTCAGGAGCAGCTCAAAGGTAAAGGACCTCTTGATGACATTGACCTATCGATTCTATAATCGATATGTGTGCAATAAATATTTGACCAGCAAGAAAGCTAAAGATAAATATTGCCGAGAATTCTTGGATGCCGCTTATTACACTTGGCTACCATATGTGGGCTTCAATCACGACGGCAAGTGCAAAAAATGGGCGAATAATTACGATATAGTGCCCAAATTATATGCACTGCGGCAGTACGACGTGGCCCAGGTCTTTATGTCGCAGGCTCTACTAACAAGTTTTCAAAAGAAACAGATGCTGGCCAAAGAGAAGGGCAAGTATAGAATCCATAATTGTGAATCTTCTTGTTTAAAATTTTAATTTCATTTTCTTTATTTGCATTTCTTGTCCAGAGCTGAGAAAATCTGTTCGCTTTACTATGACAGATTATAGATTCTGCAGAGATGTTGCCAATAGCATGAAATATTGGCGCACCTGCAAAGTGTGCAAGGATAAGGTGACGGACAGCCTAATGGGCGACCAGTTCGAGGAGTACCTAAACGACGTCAAGCACCACTTGGAGTCGATGCATTTTGGGGCCAGTTGCGACTGCACGCGTGACAAGAACCAACAAGACCATCTAAAATGTATATCACCATCATCCGAACCTAATCTGCCCCGCAACAGCAAATACATAAGTGTGGGCACTTCAAATATCAGCATTAATAAATTCCCGAATTTAGGCAGTTCGAAAACCAATCTAGATATATGATATATATATGAAGGAAAATGTATTTAGTATAAAAATAAAGATCATGTGATTACTGTGATTACAATATTCATGTTTGTTGAATGGTGGATGGAGAGGAAATATAGGATAACTCAGTTGTATTCTTGTCTTCGATTATTTCAATTTGGGACATTTAATTAAGGTGAATAAATTATGTGGCCAGCTCGAATTATATTCGTGATGAGCGATTGTAGTGCATATATTTATATATATAAATATTATATTTATATTATATATATTGTAGTTCTATCTATAGATAAAACTGCTTTAGTAATAGGGGATGGACAGGGCTGTCCCATAAAGTTGCCCCACGTTGCAACTGGATCTAGCTACATATATCATAATCTCTTTATCTAGCATGACTGTTTCAACTTTAACGAAATCAAATGTGTATATCTATTTTTTCAAACAGCTAAATTTGGTGATCAAAGTAGTCTGAGATTTCGACTTCAAGGCATTTCATTCGATATGCCCGTAGAGAGTTTCTATATTCAGTCAGTACACTTTTATAACAGCAACAAGCAACATCCAAATTCAATCAAATAAACACATACAAAAAATTCCATAAAAATCACAAGAAAAAAAAAGAAGAAAAATATCAAAGAAGTTTTACAGCATTTAAAAGCACAGAAAATACAACAAAAACTAAGCAAAAAACAATTCAACATTTTGATTCTCGTTAATTTTAAGCATAAAGTGTAATTTTTTATAGTTTTTTTTATAGTTTTTTTATAGTTTTTTTTATATTTTTTTATATAATAAATACAAAGCTCACATTGGACAACATGCGCCAGAAAAATACTATACAAATTTCTAAGACATACAGCAACAGAGACAAGTACAAAGAAACGCTTACACTTGATGTGGATATATTGAATAAACGCATATACACGTACATTGCTGGGTATTCTAGGGCTGTAAGTGAAACATTGAGTATAAAAATTGGAAATACAATTAACTCGGCCTAATTATATAGAAGCACACACTCACATGCGCCAGACCTAACAATTAACACATAAACTTAAATGAAACGCAACTTCACACTCAAAATCGACTTTCTTGAGATTGACTACCTTACAAGACACCTAAAGCACAGTAAGTAAGTAATATATGATACATGTATATAACCTAATAATTAATAATTATTTTTTGTTATAGTTTTACATACGAATAAACACCGACTCATCGCATTTATATAGAAGCAACAAAAGAGATCAAGGACCTTTACACAAGACATTTATATGGCTGCAAGTTTAATATAGAATATATGAACCTATGTATATATTAACAGTTATTCGCATTTCCAGCTTTAGAGACAATGGCACACACTTCATGGAGCCAAAGCACTTCGGTAGGAATGCCAACACCATTTTCAAATCTTAGGCATTAGATAGATGTGTATATATTTGATCAAAATAAATCTAAATTGTCAGTGTACACTTAATACATATTTTGTTTTTTTACTGTGGGGAAATATTTTTTTAAAGTAATTATTATTAATTAAATTTCATCATATAAAAAAGAATTTCTTAAATTGATTCTGGGTATATAATATTTTTTTTTTTTTTGTATCTGCGGTAGCTTTACATGAAATTCTCTTAGTCGTGGCTCACATAATCAACAAACACATACATACATAAGCACACCCATAAATGAGTTCAATCAATATTGGCAGCAAATTAAATTTAATGATATTTGTTACTTGCAGCCAAAGTCAAGTAGAAAAGAGCTGCGCAATTGGCAACTCGGGTAAATATTTGCCGATTGACGCTAATGAACTTGAGCATACAAACACACAGAAAGAGAGAGAGAGGGAGAGAGGGAGAGGTTCTTGAAAGCAGCAGCAGCTGCTGCTCAAAAGAAAGCTCGATTCGCTGCTTTGATTAAAGAGTTTTGTACAAAAATTTCCTGACTTACAGACTTTTTGCTTTTTCTTCTCTTTTTTCCAGCCTTTTATTTTCCCACAGCGAAATGGACGAGCAAAACGTGTTTACACAAAGAATTTTTCGCTATTGATTGTGTGATTGCAATATGTGTGTGTGTGTGTGTATGTGTGTGTGTGTGTGTAGTTACACATATGCAAGCCCATTGCTGAAGAAGCACGTTTGGTTTGCCATTGTGGGCACCCAAAAGTCAATATCACTTCTTTGATTCGATACTCAACGGATACTCTACTCGAAGGGGGTACTAGAAGTCTATCCTTAAGTTTGTTTAAAGACAATTTCCTATTTATATTACAAAACAAAACATTCCCGATCTAGACATTCTCATTGGGTCAAGGGTTTACTTGTATTTCGTTAGAGTATTTCGATGTCATCTAACTTGAGACTAACTCTTATTTTTCTTTATTTATTTCACATCGTTATTTGCAGTGATTCACTTGAGTTTGTGCTCTGAGTGGGCTACTTGTCGAAAATCTGAGAAAGACTGAAAGAGAGTGTGTGTGAGAGAGAGAGATGGTGACAGTGAAATTATCTCTGTGAGCTCTTTTGTATTTGAAGTATCAAGTGTGGCTATAGAAAATAATCTAGCAGGCTTTGCTATCTAAACTTTCGATATTTAGCTGCCTGATAATGGATTTATTTGGTTTGCTTTTGCACAGAGCTCAAACAAGAACTAACATATATGAGAATTACAAGTGCAAAATTAACAAAAACTAATAAATAAAATTTTTGAACAGTTTTATATAAAACGTTAAAGCAGAAAGCAATATAATTTTTCTTAGCTATAAGTAAAATATGTAAAACTTGAATTTAAAAAGCTTTTTATATAAAATGAGTATGGCAAAGAGAAAATACATTTTTATGATTTATAGATCACTTTTTTTTATATTTTTAAATTTATTTATTTTTTTTTTTTTTTTAATATTTTATAAATAATAAATTAAATTGTATTTCAAAAGTGAATATATAATCGAATAATAATAAAAAAAATAAAAATAAATATATATATAAATGCAAGTTATTAATGTTGAAATAAATATAATTGTATATACTCAAACTAATAAATAAATAAATAAACTAAAATAAAATTTAAATGAATTTAATTGAGGATAATTTATAAGAGAAATAAAAAATACAATTAGTAAAAAGCAAATAATTTATTTGCTCAGGTATTATCACATGCCTTAAGGCTTTCGATGTACCGCTGGAATATAGAATTTGCTTCATTTATTATATTTTTTATAAATTTATTATGAAATAATATATGTCGGAGATGATAGTATTGCTCGAATAGAATATCTTATCGATATGTCGGTTCATGCATAGTATTGGGTAATATTGGTTAAGTGAGATATTAGTCAACACTAATATCGAGTGTGGTCCTGATGAGGTTGCCAGTTGGTTGCGATAGAAGTAATCAAACGGGCTATCGAAAAATCGGAGAGTTGATTAGCAAGAGGAATAAGGGCAACAGTGCAGGAACACGCTGCACTCCAAAACATAAAATTATACGACATATATGTAGATATAATACAAAATATCACTACTCAAATTCAAGTTTCTACTGCCGAACAGGATGTATAATAAGCTTAAATTCATCTGCTATTGCATGATTTTCTATATTTAGACGTTTTTGATAGCCATGAAGCATTAAAATGCCAGTCATGCTTAGCATGTATGTGTGCGTATGTGTGTATGTGTGCTATACTGGCATTAAATAGAAACAGAATTAACCCAAATATGCAAATAAATTTGCCAGCAAGGCAAACAACAACAACAACAACGGCAACAACAATAGAGCTACACATTAACTTCCGCAGCTCATTAAGTGGCTGTCAGTTTAAGATAGTGTGAGGCTGCCAGAGCGAGAGAGAGAGAGAGAGAGGGAGAGGGAGAAAGGGAGATGGGACTACAGCAAACTAAGAGGGAAAGGGAAAGTAGAATAGGGCAAATACTTGTATATAAAAAATTTATGCGACGCCAACTGGACGACAGCACACACACACAAACACACAGACACACACACACACACATACACACAGACACACACACACACAGGCACACTCATACAACTGCAAATCAGGAGCTCGCCAGACAGGCGAAAAGTTTGCTGGCTCTCACAGCAAATAAAACATTTGGCCCCATGTAAATTATGAGGGCCACAAAGCGAAAACCCCAAAACCTCGCGCTTGGAATACGTAAATTAGCAACAACGAAAAATATACAAAAATAAGGAAAGCAAAAAGAAAAAAAAAAGAAAAATACAGAAAAATAATAAAAATATCAGCGCGCCAGAGGTCAACTGTGGGTGAGCAGCATCAGCAGGAATGTCAGGGCGCGTCCGTGTTCCTGCCCTCTCCTGCTCTGACTTGCCACGCCTACTGCTCGCGCTCAATATAAAGGCTAAGCGAAAATGTCGACACATTAAATGAAAACGACGGAATTTTTACTTGCACTGAATTGTTGGCTTACAAAATGGCAATCGGCTTTCAATGGCCGACTATCAGATACCCTGTAATTAGCACTGTATTACTTTGCCTTTTAACTGAAAAATGTTTTATAATTTGTTATTTATGATAATTTATTATAATTCTAATAGATTAAAGTATAGTATCTGAGGAGTGTAAATAATTTACTGACATTGTTTTTTTTTACTGCATAGGAATATAAAATAATAAATATTTTAGTTTTATAATATTTACCTAATAAAAAAAATTGTTTAAATTAATTAAACAGAAACTTTAACTCCTATTCTATTTAAACTTTTATGCTGGTTAATCGCAATTAATTGCAAACCATTTTTTGTTTTCTTTCAATTCCAGTATACTCCATTTCCCAATGTCAACAGAGCAGAAGAAAAACTGAATATAAGAAAAAAAAAAAACCTGCACGCATCCTTGGCCTCCAGTTTAATTAGGCCGTCTGCCTCTGTTTTGGCCTATATATAGGGAAAAATGCCTTAAAAAATGTTCATTTAATGCCAATGCCCTCGCTTCCCCAGGTTAAAGGTCGGTTTTTTTTTTGTGGGTCCAATTTACG